CTATTGCTAATTATGGCTCGGTTGGGTTGGGCCAATATAATGCTATTAGAGCCAAGGGCCAAGCCAATTTAAATTGGTAAGGGTTTAGGTACCATTGTATCAAGTTGGGTCCATTTGGGCTAGCTTGAGTTCAATGCTCATTAGGCTAGTAGAAAGGCTTAATTTAAATTCTTCAAATTTAACTTGTATGAAATAAGAAATATTGAACAATAAGTCAATGTAAGGTTAATTCTATCACATTCTGATTCATTATGAACAAATAATAAAAATTTACTACATATGTGATCATTTTGAAGAATTTAAAATAGAACTATCAATCTACATAATTACAAAGGAATCTAGTAAAAATAGCATCGATTACGCCCCTAATAAAGAAGCGTAACCTTATACCAAAATAAATAACATTTACTAATTTCTAAGTGAGTGACATGGAACTCTAAATAAAAAGTTGTTCAATCAACAAGGTTATAAGGGTAACGACTCGCATGACCTACAAACAGTGAGGCCAAGTAGATAGAAACACACACTTCGAAGCGTAATAGTGAAAATCTTAATATATCTTTAGTTACACCAAAAACACCAAATCAATTGCCAAATAATACGATCAATCCTACGACCTAACAAAATATCTTATGGAGACCAAATGTAAAGGAAGCTCCACCAACAAATCTTAGATTAATAATATATCCAAAAGATATAAAATAATATAAAGTTTGATCAAATCGAACATCAAACTCAAATAAGACCTCCCAAAGTAAGATAGAACTCCTCCATCGAGAAATTTAAGGCTATATAAATTTATTACAAATCAAATACAAACTCAGAATAGAATTGAAAGAACTATTAAGTACCTGATTTGAAAAATAAGATGAAGAAAGAGAAAAAAGAGAAAAAGGATATGAAAAAACTCACGATAGAAGGAGAGGAATTTGAGAAGAGTTCACTGAGAGCTACTATTGCAAGAAAGAAATAAGGTGGAGGAGAAATGAGAATTTGATGGCTGTTGTTTGTGAAATAGAATGAAAAGAAGAAGATGGGAGAGGTCTGGTGGCCGTTGCAAGAAGGAGAAGGAAAGCCTTTAATGCCCTAAGTCTCCAAATTGAATTAAATGGCAAGATGAAGGCAACAAGTCGGGAGGATCCGTCTAATAGGGAAAGAAATCATGATTTGGAAAGAAAGATTTTCACCATCAAGGGTGTTCATCTCAATTTTGCGGCTTGCTATTCGAATTAGTGTTACTTGAGTTCTAAGGGCACGGTTTGTGCACGAGAAGGGGGGCAAGAGGGGGTTGGTTTGTGCGTCTCTCGTTCATGCGACCCGAATGAGCTCGGATAATACATCAAGAGCTAAAAGATATATTGATAAATGTATGGATTAAACTTTTGACTATTGTAAATGAATTTTGGGGAATGAATATAGTTTAATATTTTAATATAAATGATTTTAATTTGCTTCCATTGAGTTAATTTATATTGATGAATTCATAAAACCACTGGTTGATTAATTAAGAGATTAAAATAGATAATTCTTTCAAAATTTGATCTAAGAGTATTACACAACGTAAGAATGTTAACATATTAGAATAAACCTAACTAATATATCAAGATGACCTAAAGGTGGGGAACAAATATAATTGACCCAAACATGGTAAATGACACAAAGCTTTGAGGTTTGATGCCTTGCATTTACTCGTGTTATATGATGTAGGGATATAGAAAGAATGACAAAGTCATTGGTTGTATGTATTTAAGCTTATAAGTACATGAATCAAGAATGGCTAACTTAATCAAGTGAGTGAGAAGTAAATTGAATGAAACAAACCCAAATATTAGGTTGACAACAAAGATCACACATCATGTTCAAACTCACTTGAAATGATTTTATTGTTCTCATTATTATGTTATCACAAAGATTACATTTAATCATGTGATTGATTCATTTATGATATAGGAAGAGAGAACATGGATTTCTATATTTAGCAATCTAAATTTCAAAAAAAAAAAAAAAAAATCTAGGAAAATGAACTATCATGAATGATTAAGGATCCTCTACCTAGAGTAGTTATGAAGCATTGGAGGTTCACTGCATTTTATAATTCTAAGCCTTTCACTCTTCTTATTTAACATTTAAGAAGTCTTATCTTACTCCTTAACACTCCCTTCCTACATTCCCTACTCAATTCAATAATAACCTCACACTAAGATAATATACCTAAAAAGGAAGAGTCATGTTAGAAATCAAAGATTGATTGATAATCTGCTAGTAGAAAGGCTTAATTTAAAATCTTCAACACATGAATTTAATTTGTATGAATAAGAAATATTGAACAATAAATCAATGTAAGGTTAATTCTATCACATGCTGATTCATTATGAACAAATAATAAAGATTTACTACATATGTGATCATTTTGAAGAATTTAAAATAGAACTATCAATCTACATATTTATAAAAGAATCTAATACAAATAGCATGGATTACGCCCCGAATAAAGAAGTGTAACCTTATACCAAAATAAATAACAGTTACTAATTTTTAAGTGAGTGACAAAAAACTCTAAATCAAAAGTTGTTCAATCAACAAGGTTACAAGGGCAACGACTCGTAGGACCTACAAACAGTGAGGCCAAATAGATAGAAACCCACAATTCGAAGCATAATAGTGAAAATCTTAATATATCTTTAGTTACACCAAAAACATCAAATCAATTGCCAAATAATACGATCAATCCTACGACCTAACAAAATATCTTATGGAGACCAAATGTAAAGGAAGCTCCACCAACAAATCTTAGATTAATAATATATCCATCCTCCAGAGACATTTCCCATCAGTATGCAATTGATAGACCCTGAATCAGAGGTCATTTAATAGAGTTTCCAAGTGTTTGAAAATTCATTGGAAAAGGCCTTTAGGACAAGGCTTTTAGACTTTGAATTTGAGTCTGGATTTTGGAATTGATCTGGATTTTGAGTTTGATTGATTAAGTTTGAGTATCCAAATCATCTATAATCATTTTGGTGATCATTAATGACTGGATAAGATCAGAGCTAACTTACAGGTAGGATCAATACTTAAACTGGAGTTTGAGTTCTGAACTGGGTTGGATTTTAGATTTTCATTGAGGCTTGAATTGAATTTAGATCTGGATTGACTTGGATCAGGATCGATCTGGAATCTGGATGGATCCTTAATGACCTCATACAAAAATGAGGTCAACATTCACTAAGAGCTACTATTGCAAAAAAGAAATAAGGTGGAGGAGAAAAGAGAATTCGATGGCTGTTGTTTGTGAAAGAGAATGAAAAGAAGAAGATGGGAGAGGTTTGGTGGCTGTTGCAAGAAGGAGAAGGAAAGTTTTTGATGCCCTGAGTCTCCAAATTGAATTAAATGGCGAAAGGAAGGCAACAAGGCGGGAGGATCCATCGAATAGCGAAAGAAATTGCGATTTGGAAAGAAAGATTTTCACCAGCGAGGGTGTTCAACTCCATTTTGCAGCCTGCTACTTGATTTAGTGTTACTTGAGTTCTAAGGGCACGGTTCGTGCACGAGAAGGGGGGCAAGAGGGGGTTGGTTTGCGCGGCTCTCGTTTATGCAACCCGGATGAGCTCGGTTATTACATCAAGAGCTAAAAGATATATTGATAAATGTATGGATTAAACTTTTGACTATTGTAAATGAATTTTGGGGAATGAATATAGTTTAATATTTTAATGTAAATGATTTTAAGCTGCTTCCATTGAGTTAATTTATATTAATGAATTCATAAAACCACTGGTTGATTAATTAAGAGATTTAAATAGACAATTCTTCCAAAAGTTGATCTAAGAGTATTACACAACTTAAGAATGTTAACATATTAGAATAAACCTAACTAATATATCAAGATGACCTAAAGGTGGGGAACAAATATAATTGACCCAAACATGATAAATGACACAAAGCTTTGAGGTTTGATGCCTTGCATTTACTCGTGTTATATGATGTAGTGATATAGAAAGAATGACAAAGACATTGGTTGTATGTATTTAAGTGTATAAGTACATGAATCAAGAATGGCTAACTTAATCAAGTGAGTGCAAAGTAAATTGAATGAAACAAACCCAAACATTAGGTGGTAATTAAGATTTTCAGAAAGTGGTGCCAACAAAGATCACACATCATGTTCAAACTCTTCAATAACTTATCACTTAATATTTCATTCATATGAAATGCTTTTATTGTTCTCATTATTATGTTATCACAAAGATTATATTTAATCATGTGATTGATTCATTTATGATATAGGAAGAGAGAACAAGGATTTCTTTAGCAATCTAAATTTCCACAAAATAAAAAATTAAAAAAAAAATCGAGGAACTATCATGAATGATTAAGGGTCCTCTACCTAGAGTAGTTATGAAGCATTGGAGGTTGATTGCATTTTATAATTCTAAGCCTTTCACTCTTCTTATTTAACATTTAAGAAGTCTTATCTTACTCCTTAACACTCCCTTCCTACATTCCCTACTCAATTCAATAATAACCTCACACTAAGATAATATACCTAAAAAAGAAGAGTCATGTTAGAAATCAAAGATTGATTGATAATCTGCTCAGCATTATACAGACAAATTTGCAATGATGATCAACTAAGCACTTCTTAAATTTTAGGGCTAAAAAAATCATGAAATATTCCTCTGAAATTGTCAAAAAGATTTTCTCAAAAGTAAAAATAGTCTGTCCTTACAAATTTATCCATGCTTTTTTATCACTACACCAAGTCTAATAATTCTTACCCTATTAGACAAATCAAGTCGCCCAACTCTACCTTTGCTAATGCATTGCTAATTAATTGCTTAACCATCCAATAAAATTTCTACCACCTTCAATGAGCTCATATTCATTCATCATAGTTTACTACCAAAACAAATCTCATTCTAATTCACCACTCATCATAACTTACTAAACCAAAAAAAAACTCAATCTATTAATAATATATCTTATTAATTTATTTAATTCATCATTAAAATCTAATTAGTTGCATCAAAATTTTAATTATTCAAACTTTGAAGTCATTACAACAATCTATAATAGAATAGATGAAATGAACCCATTTGACTTTTTCAAGTAAGGTGTGAAGCATTACTCATTAAAGCTTTTAACCGATCAGTGCCCAATCTGTGGCAGTTGCAGCCGGCCTTCTCTTCCACTGGCAATGGGAACCAAAACTGTAACTCTACTAGCAGTGTCAGCCATCGCCGTTCTTCTGATCTTCCTCGCCATCTTGTGGCCAACCGTTGGCTCAAAAAAAGCCTTTTTTATCATCGCCGTCTGCGCCTCCGCCGTCGTTCTTGCTATCCTGATCTACCTCCTTATCCACCGCTCCACCTCACCCATCCGACGCCACTTCTCCGTCCAACGCCGCCTCTCCCTCAGTGCGGATACCAACCTCCGTCTCCAATTCAGCTTTCTCCGCAAAGTCGCCGGCTTGCCGGTCAGCTTCCCTTACAAAGACCTCGAAACCGCCACCGACAACTTTAGAATTCCCGTCGGCCGCGGCTCCTCCGGCTCTGTTTACCGAGGTATACTCGACGACGGCACCGTCATCGCGGTCAAACGGATCGATCGTTTGGCGGAACAAGGCGACAGAGATTTCCGCTCGGAGATCGCCGTCATCGCTGGCATCCAACATGTAAATCTCGTCCGACTTGTCGGCTACTGCCTCAACTCCGGTGGCAGACATCGACTGCTCGTATACGAGTTCGCCCGCCACGGCTCACTCGACAAATGGATTTTTAATTCCTCCGGCGATGAGCAGCCGCAGCCGCAGTACCTTCCGTGGACGCTTCGAGTTCGAGTAGCCGTTGAAGTGGCAAAGGCGCTTGCTTACCTCCACCATAACTGCCGATCAAGAGTTCTGCATCTCGATGTCAAGCCTGAGAACGTTCTCCTAGACGAGGGATTCCACGCCCTGGTGGCGGACTTCGGGTTGTCGAAGATGATTGGGAGAGATGAGAGCCGGGTGATTACGAGCTTGCGAGGGACGAAGGGATATTTGGCGCCGGAGTGGCTGATGGAAACAGGCGTGACGGATAAATCGGATGTTTATAGCTTTGGAATGGTTTTGCTTGAGATAGTGGGAGGGAGAAGAAACTGTTTGTTGGTGGAGCAGGAAGGAAGTGATCCGATGGGGAGGAGGCGGCGGATCTGGTCGTATTTTCCGGCTATGGTGATGGAGAAGGTAAGGGAAAAGAGAGTGATGGAGGTCGTGGACGGGAGGATGGGCATAGGGAAAGAGGTGGAGGAGGAGGTGAAGAGATTGATAAATGTGGCTCTTTGGTGCATACAAGAGGAAGGGAAGATGAGGCCGAGTATGGAGAGAGTTGTGGATATGTTGGAAGGGAGGATGGGGGTTGTGGAAGCTCCGCCGGAGACGAGTATGATGATGGCGGAGTTTCTCGACGTCGACATGATTGAAGGTCCGGCGTCGGCGTTGCAGCAGCTTCGGACGCCGGAAGCCTTGACTTATTCGTTCTCTACGACGATTCTCTCCGGCCGGTAGACCCTTTCTTCTTTAAAAAAAAACCAAAGGTTTTTAATAATAGTTTTGTATGAGATTTTGTCGGCCAGATAAAATGTACCGGAAGAGAACTCTTTTATATTCAAAGGTTGACTTATTGTTATTTGTTGTGATCTTATGAAATTGATATGTGGATAAGTTCATTGGTTCACACATTACATATTTTGAGGGGTTGATGATTCTTGCATCCTGAAATATTTGCGGTGGTACAGAAGTATAAAATTTAACATCTTAGCATTGTGCGAATATCCAGCATATATATAGATATAAGAGAGAGAGTATAGCGTTCATAAGAGACACGGATTTTTATGTGGAAACTCCTAAAAAAGGGGAAAAATCATGGGGCTTGACCCATTTTGAATGAATCCATTATTATTTGCAGTCGATTACAAATGATGTCCTTCATTAGAGGGAAAGCCCTGGCTTGATATTGCAGACATACATCATATATAATGCATTACATAGTAGAAATTGGAAGAATCAATATTGATATGTTCGTTTAGTCGGGAGGACCATAGCCAGCGGGTGACGAAGGTCAGAAAGATTGAAGTCGGGAGGTGACAAGGGGCAGAAAGACCGTAGTCTAGCGATGAAGGTCGGAAGGATTGTAGTCGATAATGAAGGTCAGAAGGACCGTACTCGACGACGAAGGTTGGAAGGACCGTAGTCGGCGAGAGATAAGGGTCAGAAAGATCGTTGCATGACTATGGAGGTCAGAAGGATTGTAGTAGGTGAAGGAGGTAGGAAGGATAATAGTCGGCATAAGACAAGGGTTAGAAAGACTGTCGTCTGGCGATGGAGGGCGGAAGGATCGTAGTAGGCGACGAAGATCGGAAGGATCGTAGTCGGCAGGAGACAGGGGTCAAAAAGACCGTTGTTTGGTGATGGAGGTCGAAAGGACCGTAGTAGGCGACGGAGGTCGAAAGGGTCGTAGTTGGCAGGAGACAGGGGTCACAAAGATCATTATTTGACGGTGGAGGTTGAAAGGATTGTAGTAGGCGATGAAGGTTAGAAGGATCTTAGTCGGCAGGAGACAAGGGTTAGAAAGATCAATGTCTGCAGTGAAGGTTGGAAGGGCCGTAGCTGATGGGAGATAGGGGTCAAAAAGAACATTGTCAGGTGGCAGAGGTCGAAAGGACCATAGTATGTGACGAAAGTCGGAATGACCATAGTCGGCAGGAGATAGGGGTCAAAAAGCCTGTTGTCTGATAATGGATGTCGAAAGGACTATAGTAGGTGGCGAAGGTCAAAAGAATCATAGTCGGTGGGAGATAGGGGTCAGAAATATCGTTGTCTAACGATGGAGGTCGGAATGACCGTAGTATGTGACAAAGGTCGGAAGGACCATAGTTGATAGGATATAGGGGTCAAAAAGACCGTTATATGGTGATGGATGTCAGAAGGATCGTAATAGGTGACAGAGGTCGGAAGGACCCTTGTCGGCAGGAGATAGGGTTCATAAAGATCGTAGTCATAAGGCATTGGTCCGAAAGAAGTCTGGGCATTATTTGGTGATCTAGTGGAACTCTGACTTTTTTCGGTGGTCCGGCGAAAGTTTGGGCCTCAGTTGGTGGTCCTACAACTGTTTTGGCATAATTTTGGTGGAACTCTAGTGTTAGTCGGTGGTCCTGGTGGAAGTTCGATGTAAGGAGGTGGTCTGACGGAAGTCCCGCATCAGACAGTGGTCCGAACGAAAGTCCAACGACAGGTTGTGCTCTGGCGGAAGTCAAGTGTCAGGCGATGGTTCGCCAGAACTCCAGCATTAGGTGGTGGTCCGGCGGAAGTCCAGTGTCGGGTGGTGGTTCATAAAAACTCCAACATCATGTGGTGGTCCGGTGGAAGTCTGGTGTCAATGGTGGTCCTGACGAAACTCCAGCGTCAGGCAGTGCTCTGACGGAAGTCTGGCATCAAATGGTGGTCCTGACAGAAGTCTGGTGTCAAGTGGTGATCTGATGAAACTCCAAGCATCAAGTGGTGGTCCGGTGGAACTCTAGTTTCAGGTGGTGGTCCGGCGGAACTCCGGGCGTCGGGTTGTGATCCGACAGAATTTCGGGTATCAAGTGGTGGTCCAACAGAACTCTGGGCAGTGGTCGAGGAGGAGCTAAGGGGCAAGAGCGATCTCCGATCTATCTCGGGGGCCCCCCCCCCCCATTCAAGAGGAAGGAGGGGCTCTATTTATAGATTTCTAAGAGTGTCATGGCCCGTAAATAGGAGGAATATCAAGTGTAAATGGGGAATGGTTTGGATGGACAACCGATGTTAAATCCCTTGATCGTGGATCGTTCGCTAGCCATTTGAAGGTCTTAATGATGTCGGAACTCCATGATCTTGAGCTTGTTGGATTTGTCTTCTCAAGCCGCTCAATTCGATTATAAGCATGTCATGTTTGGAAACCATTTGATAATCGAAATTGTTATTTGAACCTTCCAACTGTGATTTGGATCCTTGATTTGGACACATTTGGGCTCATATTGAGTCAATTTTGGTGTCGTTGGATTTGTATTTTCGAGACGTTTAGTTCAATTATAAGTTTGCTTAAATCGAAGTTTAGATGGTCTCCAATTTAATATTTTGATGTTTCCAACTTGATTTTTTCCTCGAGATTCATGCTCGATCAATATAATTTTTTGATGATATATCAATGATAATATGATAAGCGATGAGTTTTATAAGATATTACACCCTATAATTTAATTTTAAAAATATTTTTTAATCTTTTTAATTATAACAATGGGAGCTATATAATTTCTTTCAAAAATATAAATATCAACAAAAATAAGTCTACATATCAAAATATCAATATACAAATTTAATCATTATCCAAAAGTTATATATAATACTCAATAGTCATACAAATACAACAATATATCTTCTTACTCTTAAGTACAAAAAAAATAACTAAAAGACAAAAGAAACAAGATAACAATAAGATTTGAGAATCATGTAACTAATTAGTATCAAACTCTCGATCATTTTTTCTAATTTGAAATTATTTAAACACATATAATGAGCTAAAAAGTCAAGCAGATAACTACCATCCTACAACTGAATTTAAAGCAAGGAAAGAAAATAGTATGAATATAATCATTCAGTTCATAACAGTACAATCAACATTATCATGAATCTATATAGAAATACAAAATATATACAACAACAATAAAATATTTAAAACCGTAAAATTGTACGATATGAAGGCTAGAAAAATATTGCAGTACAATCCTTTATTTAAAATAGTAAAATGATACGGTGCCATATACAATAACAATAAAATATTTAAAATCGTAAAATGGTACAGTAGATTTACAACTCTATCATCAGTCATGTTCATAGATCTTTCACTATATACTCTCGATCCTACAATCTTTTATCCTTCGATATTTCTAGACTGTCAGACTCCAACATCAGTTTTTCCTCCAAATCCTCTCTATGGGCAATCTGTGTCACGCCCTAGAATCAAAATTTGGAAGATTGTATCCTTCCTTATAATCAATTAATCATATTTAAACAGATCTTACTAATTCATGTAAACATAAAAAAGAAATGCATTTCTATTCATTAATAAGTACCAATCTTATCCTGATAGAGCAAAACCACGCATAATTCCTTCACAATCTAAACCATTGGTCTGCATGTCTTCGTCAACATCAGACACACTGCAAAACATAGGCAGGCTATCATAGTCTTTTTTTCATACTCCCTTCGCCCATTCTCCTAATAGGTGGAGGTTTCTATTCAAAATGTCATTGTTCAGACTGATTAACAAACATTTCACTAACAATCTGAGCAATTATATCATCAAATTTTAATACATGCTTAGGTGTAACAGGAGTTGCTCATGTATATATTATGCTCAATTGGAAGTTCTTTCCCACTTGGATTCATTTTCCTTGTGCCTGGACAGTTAAACAAATCTTTAAGATATGATACGTGTGAAACCATATGGGCGTCGCAACGACATTTCCCAGCACCGCAGTGCAAACCCGAAACCTAATTTTTTGTCTACTTTTCTGAGAGCTCAATGCCGTGGTGCTACCTACTTTTGCGCCGTAATGCCGACAAAGCAATTTTCCCAACTTAAAATCTCAACCAAATCTTGGCTACTCACATCCCCATTAAATAATTTAAAACTTATGATTACACATTACATCAACCACAAATGAGTATTTAACTTAATTAACTTCAGTTACCTGAGTTTTGGGACAATGAATATTAGACTATACATGTTCATTTGCATCTACATTCAAAGTTTAAATTATGCAACTTCTATAAATCAACGTTAAAAAGTTCATCTTCGTCCGAGCTGCTACTTATTGAATTAAAAAGTTCGTGCAAAATTAAGGGTCTGTATGGGGCCATTTTTTGTTCCGTTGCTTTTTAAATAGCAGCAATAATTTTATTTGGTTATTATTTTTCGTTGCTTTTTAACTGCTTTTCAAAAAATTGTGTATTAAAAAGCTAGTTTTAGCAATCATAATAGCGATGTTGTTTTCTATAAAATGCTACAATCGTCCCAACTAGACCGTTAAAAATAGCTCTAGCCCATGTAAATACATATGAGATGATGTTGTAGAAGCTGGAAGATGATCACCAGCCAAGCAGATCAAGAGGATGCTAAAGCATTTCTTTTAATGATAGAAAGTTCCAACTTAACTGACAAACTTAAAGGAAGCTGGAATAATCTGTTTTTTCATGGGTTTTGTATTCTATTCTTATGAGTGAAAAAGAAGCATACACCTTTTATTGGATTTTGTCATATTTTACATTGGAATTTCATATAGATCAATCATATGTTTTGCATTTAGAGGATTATCACTTAGGTTTCATTTAGAATAGCATTCTTACTGTTTTGATTTTCAGACTGTATTAATAATTTTTATTTGGCCACTATTTCTTATTGCTTTCAATAAATTTTTATACTAAGAAACTATCTTCTTAAGTAGTTTTGAAAAAAAGATAAAAATTTCACAACAGTATTACAATTACTTTCGTAAAAAGCTGAAATCATCCCAAGCAGACTCATAGATTTTCACTACCTACCAGTCTCCTCCTCATCTTCTAAAATTATTTTACAACTTTTAGAAAAATTGTACAATTAACTAAACATCATAAAATATTTTAAATATAATAAATATATTTCATACTAGATTTAAAAAATACCATAATTTTAAAGACTTACATCCCATTGAAAATATAATGAAACTCTAATATATGCAACCAAATAACCCTCATATATTTTCTCATTTAATCTACCTCACTTTGATCTATTAGTTGAGAGTTTTGATTATAATCTAAATAGTTTTAAATTGAAGTCTTATATATCTGATGTTTGTATAAATTTTGTTACAAGTGCGAAAAAGAAAATAAAACCTATAGTCCTGGATCTCAAAAAAAAAATAAAAGAGAAACCAAAGACTCAAAAAGACAAAAAAGAATACAAAGCTTGTAGGAAAAACTACAAAGGACTCAGGAAGCTCATGGTGATACAATACGAACGGGACCAAAAATGCTCGAGGGACTTCACCAGAGCGAAGCCCCTGGTTGCCAAAAACATCTTCGTAGGGGCAGCTGGGATTAGCAGCATTCATCGTCGTCCTTCCAAAAATAAACTCCCAGGCACCAGAGATTCGAGAAAACCGAGTTCGAATAACAGAAATAACAGTCATACGAAAAATTCCTCCAGCTGCTAGTCCTCCTGATAATGACTTTTTTTATTCTAGCAATTAACGTGGCTTCACAATCGAGAATGCCACAAAAAATTCTATCATTTCTAGCCCTCTAAATATAGTAGATAGAGGCACAAGCAGCTAGAAGGTAGAAACTAATATGTTGCCCAGAAAAAAAAAATTGATCCATAACACTATCAAAGGCCTGGAATAAGTTCGGTCTCATAAGAAGATTGCCTAGCCATGGGAGGAAATGCTTAACAATATTGAATGTAAAATTGCATTCAAAGAAGAGGTGAGGCAGGGATTCTTGGTCAGAATAACATAGGCAACATTTACTAGAGGTAAGAATCCCACGTGAAGCTAAAACGTTTGCAGTTTTTAATCCTCTTTTAAACGCCATCCAAGCATATGCAAAGTAACATAGAGCACCCTTTTTGTGCCAAACCAGTTTATGCCAAGATACAGTTTCCAAAGAGAAGTAATAGAGAGAGAGAGAGAGAGCAAAAAGTTTTAAAATTAATTTGGAGTTTGAGTGCCCAACCAATAATGCATCTCCAAAGAATTGTCAATGTGGTTAGCTTGAATTTTAGAAACAATCGAGGCATCAAAACCATGAGGGATAAACCAAGTATTGTCAGGAATTATATTAGAAACCGTCTGGCCAAAATAAGATGAAAACACATTCAAAGCCTGCTAATCAATTAGCATGTCCGCAAAATGGCAAATTATTGCGTCCGGAATCCAGACTCACCACGTCATCAAAATACACCGGAGTCCAGTGTTTTTTGATGACATGGCGCATCTGGATTGGTTGTTCGGACATCAAGTGACTGGACGCAATAATTCACCCCGCAATAGAGATGTCATTGCACCAGAGGTCCCAAATGATAAATTGCTATCAAAATGGACAGATAAAGAAATACTATATTATTTAATAGTATTAACAATCTTGCATAAATATTTCCAATAAGAAGAGGAGAATGCATTCACGTAAATATTAAAAAAAAAAAAGATATTTTCTCCTTTAATGATTGCGACGCCTCCAACCAACCCACGCGAGGTCGGTGGTTTGAATGATCTCAATTCAATTGTTATGCCAATATCAAATTGAACACGTTAAGGTGGACGACTACTGAAGTCCACCAAACCAATAAAAAAAAGGCAGCAATTAAATTTTTATCACGTGAGATATTTAAAAATTATAAATACATAATTTTAATTAAGTTATGCTTTTATAGCCTGTACCGTTATCATGCTTTATTTTTTTTTTCTGATAATAAATGAATGAAAATATTATAATAATTATCAGATTATCTTAATATAAATTTTGCCTGGATATATTTAAAAATTATTAAATTTCTTTTGTGATTTTTTTAGTATATATATAATTTTAAATGAAATTTAAAATTTTACTTTTCATCATGTATTATAATATATCGACATAATTTTTTTTTTAGAAAATTATCAAAATATTCTAAAATATTTTATATTAGAATAGACTTAATTTTGTTCTTGTCTTATTCAGTGATCTATCTAAATTATTATTGTTGCGTCCTGGAGTATTCGCGACACTAGAGAAATATATAATTTAACGTCTTAGCATTGTACGAAGATCCAACACACAATCAGATAAGTGAGAGAGTATAGCGTTTATAAGAATACCAGAGTTTTTACGTGGAAACCCCTGAAAAGGGGAAAAACTATGGGGCCTAGCCAAGTTTAAAATGATTCCATTAGAATTTGAGTCAGTTACAATGGGCTGATTCGCCTCTGAGGGCGATCAGATTACAAGCAACAATTGTACGATAGAAATATGGGTGTCAGGTGATGGTCTGACAGAGTTTCGGGCCTCAAAGGATGGTTAGATAGAAATTCTGGCCTTAGGTAATGATCTGGCGAAGACGAGGGCTTCGGATGGAGGTCTAACAAAGGTGAGGGCCTCTGACCGCCAAGTGAGGGCCTCAAGTGGTAGTTTGGTGGAGCGTAAGGCGTCAGACGGTGGTCCGACGGAGCGCAGAGAGTCAAGTGGTGGTCCGGCGGAGCACATGGCGTCAGGTGGTGGTTTGGCGAAACAACGGCGTTAGGCGGTGGTCTGACAGAGCACAAGGCGTCAGGTAGTGGTCCGGCGGAGCAACAACGTTAGGCGGTGGTCCAGCGGAGCACAGGGCGTCCAGTGGTGGTCCGGCGGAGCAACGGCGTTAGGCGGTGGTCCGACGGAGCACACGGCGTCCAGTGGTGATCCGGCGTTGGTGGAGCAGTGGTGGTTCAATGGAACTCCGGCAGTGGTCGAGGAGGCTAGGAGATCTCCGATCTCTCTCTTTTTTCCTTAGGCTTAGGGGACTTTTTTCAAAAGAAGAGGGAGCTCTATTTATAGATATTGGGAATGGCATGGCCCGTAAATAGGTGGAGGATCAAGGGCAAGTTAGGAGTGGTTGGATGGACGGCCGATGTTAAATCCCTTGATCATGAACCGTTTGATGGACATTTGAATGCCTTAGTGATGTCGGAATTCAGTGATCTTGGGCTCGTTGGATTTGTCTCGTCGAGCCGCTCTATTTGACTATAAGCTTGTTATGTTTGGAAACCTTTTGGTAATCCAAATTGTGCTTTGAACCTTCCAACAACGTTTCGGGTCCTTGATTTGGACCCATTTGGGCTCGGATTGGGTCGAATTTGGTGTTGTTGGGTTCGTATTTCCGAGACACTCAATTTGACTATAAGTTTGCTGAAATCAGAGATCGGATGCTCCTAAGTTTAATTTCGGAAGTTTCCAACTTAATTTTGCCTTGAGATTCGTGCCTGATCAAGATAATTTCAGATGATGTATCAATTATATAATACTATATTATACAACTAAATTGTTAAATATTCAGAATATTTTTTCTTCTTATAATTATAATTATTATAAATATGAGATAATATAATTATATTTATCTAATAATTTCAGCATATTGAATTATAATATGTGATAATCAAAGATAGGGCTATCAAAACTAGTTTTTAGGTCGAGTTCAGGTCAAATTTGAATATGACCATACACTTTTTAACTCAATCGATTTTTACAAACGGTTCAGTTTTTCGAACTCGAACCTAACCCTTTTCTGATCCAGGCCAACCCAAACCCGACCCATTTTTTTATGTTTTATTAAAATATATTTATTCAATTCAATTTATTAATGTAAATTTTAGTTCAATCAATTAAAAAAAATTAAGCTTAATTCAATTTGAAAAACATGATTTATTATTTTTTAAAAATAGCACTTATTTATTTCATAACAATCTTCTAAGACTCTCATAAGTCAATTAAAAATGGTCAAAATTGGATTGATTTCAAGATTCTCGGTAAACCTGAACATTACCTGATTTTACAAATTGATCAAACTTCTTAACCCGATCTGAATCCGAAATTTTTGGATCGTTGTACCGAATTTTGACACCCCTGATCAAAGATACATATTATTATTCTAAATAAGATTTTTAAACGCAGGCAACTCCGCATACGACTGCTCATTCGCCACCGTCATCTTCTTCAGTTCCGCCACCAACGAGTGCAGATCCCGGAACGAGCTCCCGCCCTCCGCCACCGCCTTTTTTGCCATTTCACTGATCTCAGCCGCCCTCTCCCTCACCCTACTGTTTCTTCCACCCACCGCTGCTGCCAAAATCCTGGCCAGCTCCTGAGCTTCCGGCACCGTAGACCTTCCCTCGGCCACCCTGACAGCCATGCCGGCGTCCTCCAACAGTCGAGCATCTATGAACTGGTCCGCTCCGTGTGGCCACGTCAGCAAAGCCACCCCCGCCACCACGGCCTCAATCACCGAGTTCCATCCACAGTGCGTCAAGAACCACCCGACTGCCGCGTGGCCGAGAATTTCCACCTGCGGAGCCCACCCCTTCACCACAAACCCTCGCGCTGCCACCCTCTCCTCAAACCCTGCCGGAACCTCCGTCCCCTCCCTGACGCACCAGAGGAATCGCAACCCGCTGAGCTCAAGCGCTGCCGAAATCGCCGCCGCTTGCTGCGGCGGCGGAACAACTTGGCTGCCGAAGCAAACGTAAACCACCGATCCCTCCGGGAAGCCATCGAGCCAGGTCAGAACCTTCTCCTTGATAACGGCGTCGGTCTTCCGCTCAACCGGCGAAGCGACGAGTGGCCCCACCGCCCATATCCGCCGGTGCCCCGCCGCAATATCCTTCTTTAATTGTTCGATATAATCGCCTTCAAGATCGGAGAATGTGTTGACGACGAAACCCCAGCTTTGAATGTCCAATAGAAAATTTTCCTTGATTGATTCGGAGACGGAATCGCCTTTTATGTAGTCGCGGAAGAGAGTGGAGAGTTGGGAAAGAGGGAAGGAAGGGGAGTTAGGTAGCGAGGGGAAAGGAATGAGGAGATTAGGATCGGAATTAGAGGGCATCTCGCGCCAGAGTTGGTGGATGGTGGCGATTCCGAAGGCGCCGGATGGCGAGAAGGACAGGCGGGGGATGGAGAGGGATTGCGCGAGACGAAAGGTCCAGGCGGAAGTGAAGAAATCGGAGAGGATGGCCACAGGAGGGTTAGGGTGGGAATGGAACCATTGGAGAATGGGGTAGAGAAGGCCGGACAGGGCGGGGATGAAGTTGCGGATGAGATTCGGGGGAACCTGGTAGGTGTTCTCGACGCCGGTGGGAATATAAGGGGAAGAAGGGAAAGGGAGGATGAGAGGTGAAATGGATGGAGAGGAGGAGAGGATTGGGGAGAGCGTGGGAAGATTGCCGGGAGTGACGACGATGGTGATGGTGAGGCCATGGCGGGTGGAGAGCAGGTGGCAGAGATCGAGGAGGGGAAGCATATGACCGTGTGCAGGGAACGGGATTACCAGGAGATGGGGTGTAGCTGCCTCCGCCATTAGATCTGCCCTCTGCTCTGATAGCTTTCCAAAGCTGCCCGGTCAGAAGAAGCGGTCATTTTATGGGCAAATTATTAGGTCCGCTCACCGCCCATTCACTAAAAATTTGTCACGATTACGCTTTGAAATTTTGAATAAAAAAAAGTACAGTTAAACACAACTCTTCAGGCTTCCAACTAAGAGGTCTAAGATTCGAGTCTCTGTATATGCGTTGTGTGTGTGAGTTTGCCTTAAATGACCTAAATGTCCCTTTAAGAGCAGCCAATATACTTGTAATTAATTAAATACTAAATGAGCTGTCATAGTCTCATTGGCTGTCTTGTAAATACAGGCCTAAACTATCTATATATAGAGGTCTAGTTTGTAACCCGTGAGAAGGTGAATAAAATATTTCTTTCCTCTCTGTTCTTTCTTCCCGTCTTCGACTTCCACGCCTGCTACATTTCTTTATGGTATCAGAGCGGGACGACCATGGCGAGCTCGGCAAATTCGCAAAGCAACATGCAAACGATCACAGAGCAACAAGAGGAGATCCAGATTTCTTCTTCTCTCAAGTTCTTGGTATCAAATATCAAGAACATAGCTCCGATTCAACTTGCAACGGACAACTACGCCGTTTGGAGATCTCAGATCTTGAAGCTGTTCCGAGCTCAAGGTTTTCATACTTTTCTTGATCCCTCAACCGTTCCTCCTAATCGCAACATTCTACAGAATGACGGAACAACTGTTCCAAATTCTTTATTTGATCAATGGACTCTTTCCGATCAAATACTTGCAGCCTCTTTGTGTTCCACCATTTCCATTTCAATCTTACCTTACGTTGTTAATCTTGAATCAACGGCTGCTATTTGGACCGTTCTTGAAACACGGTTCCAATCGTCTAACAGATCCAAAGTCATCCAACTAAAGAACTCTCTTCATAATATTTCCCTCAAAAACCTCACAATGACCCAGTATCTATCTGACGTCAAAACCATAGTTGATCAGATCGCCGCTGCGGATGTCTTGTGGCTTCGGAGATTACTTCAAGACTTCGACATACCTCAAACTCAACCCACGGACATGTATTGTGACAACACATCAGCGATCGCACTCGCCAGCAATCCAGTTTTTCATGCCCGTACAAAACACATAGAAATAGATCAAAAATTTATACGTGATCACATTCACACAAAGCAAATACGGCTTCTCCCTATCAACACTACAGATCAGATCGCGGACATCTTTACTAAAGCACTCTCTACGCCGCGATTTCTTCTTCTGCGTACCAAACTTACTGTATCTCCCGATCCATTAGTTTGCGGGGCGGTATAAGAGCAGCCAATATACTTGTAATTAATTAAATACTAAATGAGCTGTCATAGTCTCATTGGCTGTCTTGTAAATACAGGCCTAAACTATCTATATATAGAGGTCTAGTTTGTAACCCGTGAGAAGGTGAATAAAATATTTCTTTCCTCTATGTTCTTTCTTCCCGTCTTCGGCTTCCACGCCTGCTACATTTCTTTAGTCCCAAAAAAAAGTACAGTTAAAGCGTAATTAAAGTGCAGTTAAAGCACAGATAAATCTTAGTCAAAAAAGAGCACCTAAAGTTGACCTAAAGCACAGTCAAAACGCATTCCACGAGCCAAGTTTTTAGTGGATGTCTGGACCTATTTATAGATCCAGTGACCGGACCTAATAATTTGCCCATTTTATGAAGGCTAAGAATGATTTGTGTGGTGGTACAGCGGTGGTTTTAGATAAGTTTGCAAATAAAGAGAAAAAAATTGTATTATTTTATTTTTAATTACAGTTTTACAATTATAATTTAAGAAAATAATAAATTTAAATTATATAAAAAATTAGGTGATTTATATTTATATATCTAAAATTGAAAATATTAATATCAAAGTGGCAATAGTCAATATATTACCATTTTTTCAAAAAGAGCATTAGGCTTTATTTGTAAAGGCTAAAAGCTTTCGTGGCAGGAAAAATAATTAGCAAAAAATAATTTAATGATGGTGGCATGCAGGACGGAGGCAGAAAATTTTTTGTATGGAGAAACAAATTAATATTAATAATTAAATTAATCTCAAAATATAATTTTTATTCAGTATAATCACATATTATGAAGCAAGTTTTTAAAGAAAAATTATAAAAATACATCTAAAATCATATGCATTTTCATTAAAAAAAGAATAGATATATCACACTCTATCTTATTATTTATTAAAAAATAATATTTTTTTTAAGTTATTATTTAATTGAGTTCATATAAATTGTTTTTCTAGGTAAGATTATTTTATTTGAATTAATTAAATGAAGTCTTAATTTTGAACTACATTCAGATTAATTAAATTAGTATGAGATTATAATCTACTAAAGTGAGCGTGGCCTGTTGGGCACATCGGGCAGCGAGCTGGCCGGCTGGGCAGAAGTGCGCCAGGGCTTGCCAGGGCCTTTGGGTAGCGGGAAATCTGGATTTTTTAAATTAAACGGGTTTCCGGGTCGACCCGGCAACCCGCCGGGTCAACCCGAACCCGACCCGTTTTACAAACGGGTCGAAATCTCTAACCCGAACCCGACCCGGTTCGGGTTCGGGTTGACCCAAACCCGAAATTTTCGGATCGGGTTCGGGTCGGGTTTTCAGGTCGGGTCAAATGTTGACAGCTCTAGGCCGAGCCAAAACTTAATAGTTTTAAAAACGAATTTAATCTTCTATATTAATAATTTTATTAGTAAAATTTAAATTGGATTAATTTTTTATTATTGGGCCAGTGGGGGTCGTGCCCTAAGGCCCCCACTGTAGATCCTCCCATGGTGGTACGATGACGACTATGGTCAAACATCAATAGTACGACAATGGTGGGATGATTATAGTGGTTGTGTGGTGACGGTTCAATAGTGGCAGTCTGATGATGCAACGATCAGATAATGTTCACATGGCGAATGCGATTTGATGGCAGTGGTTAAGTGGCGGTTGTGCGCTAATAGTGGTTGGGTGGTGGTGATTCAATGATAGAAAATAGCGGTAGTTTGATGAGAGGTCAGTCTGCGAGGATTTGATACCTGTAGCTAGACAGTAGCAATCTAATGATGATAGCTAAGCAATGGTGATTCAACGACGATGGCTAGATAATGATGATCCAACATAATGATTGGGCAGCATTTGTATGCAGATTGGCTCACTTTTGATGTTGATCTAATATTCTAATCCTTTCGTTGAGAAGTTCAATTCGTTGAAATCATTGAATAATCCTAATTTTTTTTCTTTTTTTTTTTCAACTAAATTATACATTCATTAATTTTCATAACGCATCAATTATTATTCTAATTTGATGAAACATTTTAAGACAGTCTTCTCCTCTTTGTAGTCTACCTATTCGCTTTGAATTGTCTCAAAGAACTTGCTCGGAAATCCTCATATCAACTGGTGTTGGAAATAGATGCGTTGAGCTTGATTTTCAATAGCCCGTGAAATCCTGAGCACATAATGCTCGAAACACACGAATCTAGAAGCATACGGAAGAGATTTCAATTCTCCTTGGGATGATTTTTATTTTTCTCAGAAATGCATTTATTTATCCTCACTACACATTTTATATTTTTTCTGTTTTATGTTTCTTTTTTTGGTATCTATATTTTATATAAATATTTTCAAATAATAACTATAATATCTTTGTTTTATTGCTTTTCACACCGTAATCATTTTTTTATTTAAGTAAACTTTTTTTATTATTATAAAAATCTTATTAGTCCTTTATAATTTAATTTATTAAGGTGAATAAATTAATTTCCAATTACAAAATAATTATGCTCATAGTATTTTTTTTTAATTATTTTTCACAATATTTTCTTTTCTAAAATATATTTTATAAAAGTAACCTAAAATTTTTAAATTTTATTTTCTAGAACATTTGTTTTCTAGAACGTTGGACATTGAAAACTTTTTTGTACAGAGGATTTTGGTGGTTTCCTCTTTGACTCATGATAGAAACAGACACGAGTTCTTATTGATTAATTTGTTGGTTGGGAGTTTTGACTATCAACTAAGATGTCTTGGATTCGAGTCTTGCGTATGTGATGTGTGCATAAATTTATCTTAATTAGCCTAAATGTCCCCAAAAAAATGATAGAAACACGCAAACAACTTCCCTTCAATCATTGAAAGCAAGAAAATTTCTAAGATTTGTGCTCAATTGGTTTATGATCATTAATAATATTAAAAAAATAATAATATTATTTAAATTTAAAACTACTCCTTAAAAGGTTGAATAAAAGCTTTAAGGTTTGATAATATGTCTATTTAAGATCCAATTGAAAATTTATTTAAAAGCGAGCACCATGTGTGCCTCGCTTCTATGCCCTCTGTGTCCACTCTCACTCTGTGCTTCCTGCCCACGCCATGTGTCTTGCACTCATACGGTACGGTCTAACTCCGACCACATCCTGCGCATATCCACCCGCGCACCGAGCCCTGCTCCTTCATCTGCGCTCTGCTCGTCTCAATCCCAAGCCCTACACTGCCGCATCCGACTAGTGTCCCGCGTGTCTTTCATCGGTGCCATGCGTAGAACTTCCAAATGCTCAGCATAATAAATATTAAAAAATTTAGTCACTTCTAACTCCAAGTGTATTCATCACAATAGAACTTCATTCAACATCAAAACTCTTCATAATCACATTTTCAAGAAGATAATCATATATATAATTGTATTTCAATAGAAGTAAAAGGAAATAATCAAAATGGAGGAATTCACAAAATGTCATATAAGCAGCCAATTGACTTAACAATTGACCATAATTTTATCAAATTACCAAGAATTGTGTATAACATCATTTTAAAGCATTAAATGTATTACAATATTTTTTTATGAGGTGATAAATAATTTTTAATTTATTAAATAACACTCTCTCCAATTTACTAGTTTAAAATTTCTAATGAAAACACGAAAATATCCAAAATATTCATATCTATAACATATAGAAAATTACACATTAAAATTTAACATATATGAAGTTATCCTCATTTTTTTATTACAAATTCATAATTTTAATAAAAAAATCTCAAAGCATGCAGTGCAGTTGCTCCGTGGTTTCGTACACCA